GGCTATTTATGGTTTGGTGAATCGACCAACTAACTAGATAAGGCGGAAGCCCTACTCGAAGTTCAGCGCCCACATAAATCAGCCAAGGGTGAAAGCCTGAAAACGCCGAAGAGTATCGCCGGGTGTCGATGTGCCCATCATACAACTCCCGAGGGAAAACTCCCAGCGGTTGGCAAAGTCGAAGATCATGGATAGCCGGACAGTCCAGTTGAACAGTGATTCCGGGATCCAACCTGATTGCCAAAGGTTGGCGTAAGCAGATGGCATGCGAGTCAAAGCGAGGGACCAGAGGCTGTAGAATGGGTCGACGGCGACACAGGCTTTGATACGACGGTCCGTGGATGCGCGGAGAGAATAATACGCGCCCATGGATGCTCCGGCAACTGCGATTTTCTCCAGATCCAAATTATAGTCTGGATTCGCTTGAGCAATACCAGTTAGATGATCCAGCACTTTACTTGTCACAACCTCGTAGTCAGGTCGCATGGGTATCTTTTCTTTCTTCAGGATAAGGCCCTGGCCCGGTCCTTCGAATGTGAGAACCGCGTACCCGAGATCTGTTCCCGCAACACCATACAGGAAATATAGCTCTTCCTGGGTTGAATCAGCGCCACCGCAATTCAGAAGTACTGGCGTCTTCTGACCCGCCAGTCGTTTTGAGGGTGCAGGAAGGTAAAGGTATCCGGGCAAGACAATCCCACTCTCATACGGTATATCAAGGACGACAGTCTCCCCGTCCATCAGAGGAATGGCTTCCCTAAAGTTCCGGATGGACCTCTCCGAATTGAGGACGATTCGCGTGTCAGAGTTAGGCAGCATATACGTGCTGGCACGGAAGTAATTGGTGGCTCGTAAGTGCGCTCGTCGAGCAGAATTTGTGTGGCCGTCACGAACAGCCTCTTGGGCTATCTTTTCAGCTCGCTCGCCCTGTTCGTTCCAAGCACAGTACCAGCTTTCAGGGTCATGCCTTTTGATCTTTCCAAGTGCCTCGAGGAATTCTGCAACGTCACATCCGCCAGACGGAGTGTTTCCCAGGATGCGAATAAGTTCAAAGTCATAAAAACGAGAGCCAAAAAAACTGAACATGTTTCCCAAAGGTAAACGGTGTAGAATCTGCAAAACAGTGCAAGCGCTATGCAGCTTGGAGTCCGCACGCCCACCGTCGACAGCAAGGATAAGAATATTCAACGGCGTAATGTAAGGAATATACCTTGTTTCCGCATTCCGATCTCTCCCTGAAGCATATAGAACCCCGACAGGCCGCGACGACCAAAGGGCGTGCTATAATTGTACGATCAATGCTAGCCCTGTCTCTTCTCCGCTAAGGTGGGCTTTCTTGTGCAACCCACCAAAGACAATTCGGTGATGATACGGTCCGGATCACATATATTCGGCGTAATAGGATAACCAGTTCGGTCTCCGACAACGAGAGGTCCGGAGAGACCTGGCAGACGAACAAGCATAACAGTATAATAGAAAAAGGTTCACTGTAGTACTTGTGAAGCCACAATGGCTGGTCTATAGATACCCAGTCAATTCATGTACTCAGTATAAATCCAGCACTGGTTATCATGAGCCGGGGACCGAAGAGCCAAATTCATATCATGAGACCATTGATCTGGCCGACATAGGTGCCAGCACGGAGACCACCAGCATGAGAGGAATAATGGCAACAATAATTGCCCTCGGGCCCCTTGCAAGCTGCGCAGCGGCGTAAGTCCAAAGCCACTCTCGCCCCGTCCAATCTATATTAACAGTCGGAGCAGTTTCATGTGTTCCGCAGTTCAGCAACGGAGCATGAAGTCGTTTCTCAACCGCTCCATCCCGCCCACCGCCCGGCATGCGCTGTATTTTCAATGGTTCAGCGAGTTCAAGAAGGCGATGTATCTCTCTGCACCATCTCACCTGCTGACGCTGGTCTTGTGCTTCATCAACCTGGCTTCAAGCACCTCGAGGGCGACATCGACTCTGTGGACTGGGGGTATATTTTTCACAATCGCCCATGTGTACCCGATACGGCTGGGGGTTCGGCACTTGACCCTCAGCCAAGATGGCTGGAACGAAAAGTCGACGGGCGAAGCATTCGCGTGGGTGAAGAGCTTTGTGGACGTGAACGGGCAGCGCTTGTTGATCGTCGACTTGCCCGGGTTCCTTTGCATTGCTGGCGCTGTGGTACTGGAGAACCTGCGCTGAAAAAGAATTCGAGGATCCGCTGGGTGCGAAGCCAGACAATCAGACTGCGGACCAGTTGTTTCGGAGCCCGCAGCTATTGCCTACTAGCACAGCCGCCATGCTAGTTTTGCGTGAGATTTTCATGGCTGATGGGGGACTTCGCCCGCAGCTTGGACACGTTTGCCAGTCTCACTGCTCAAATGTTCTAGTTATAGTTATTCCACATCTCGGAGTTCAATATGAAATGCTTCCGCGCACAATTGCCGGTGTGCATTTTCAAAAGTACTCCATATAGGGAGCACAAACACTCCGAGTTTCTCAGCATTTCACCGAAGACAAGCGTTATCACATAATTCGGAAACTTTCTAAAGGTATAGTGAAGTAAAAAGCCCATCAGAAATGAATATCTAATAAGCCATAAGGCGCAACTGCTTAGGGCACAAGTATCCAAGGAGAAAAGCAACCTTACTTTGTCTCGGTAAGTCCAAAAAGTCTTGCCTATTGTTCCCCTGCGTCGAGGGTTAACCCACACATACCGTAGTGATACCGCCCTATAACCATGGCGGCTCCTCGAGAGGTCACGATGAAAAACCTCAGCGGCGTTTGGGTGATGGTGAGTCAATATCGACCTCCCATCCAGAGACCGTATCCCGGCACTGACAAATTCCCCGTCTTCAGAGCAAAAGATTGTCAGACGACATGGACCCGTGCCTTGAATTACAGGGCATCCCCTGGATTGTGCGCAAGGCAGTCTCATGGGCGACAATCACCGGAGATCTAAAACAGGAAAAGAGCCCAGACGGCCTTACAACCATCCATATCAACCAAGTTGCAACGGGCGGGATTAAAGCTGAGGCGGAGCACCATCAACTGAATTGGATGGAATTCACCCATGGGTCTGGCATGTTTGGGACGCAGCGGGTTCGCACGCGGTGGACGGCAATCGGGCCTGATGCAGTCGGTGGCGACGGCGAGGCGCTTGATCCTTTCCTTGCGGCAGATTGGCTGAATGAAGCGGGAGAGGCTGGAAGTGATGAAGAGGGAAAGCATGTCCAAGTATACGTAGTGAGCGACAGGGGCGGGTGGAAGGCAGAGCAGATCTGGGGGTTTGCAATGGTGGACGGAGAGAGGCATCATGTCCGGCGTTTTATTGTCACCAAGGGCGAAAGGGCAGCGAAGGTGAGAATGGTATACGACTGGAAAGGTAGACCCGGAGCTGAGTCTTAACCAGCAATCTTTATATGCACGTTAACTAATACTCCAAACAATGAATATGGAAACCAGGCAAAACCAAACATAAAAGATACTCTACAAAAAGAATTGAAAAGAAATCTGCGCTTGCGAGCATAACTAAACATGCAAAGGTCGATGAAACCCAATGCTCACGAGGACACCTCGCCCTCTTCGCCGACATGATGTTTTCCCACAATAGACAAAAATACCTGGTCCAGTGTGGTCTGGCTGACGGAATAGAACTCGATGCCGAGCCTGTGCCTATGCTCTTCCAAAAGGGAAAATAGTTTGCCAACGCTAACACCTCGCGGGTTGCTTGTGACAATGCTGGAGGGCCGTGCCGCTGCCCTTGTAGGCTGCTTCGACTCAGAAAGGTCGCCAACAGTGTATGAGATCGTATCTATATCATCACTTGCTGAATCGACGGAGAGTAGGCCATCTGAGCCCTGAATGCTGAACCGCAATTGTCCGTGGTAAGTCTTTTGCTCGACAGACGCCTCCGGAAGGCAATCTGTAACCCAGTGACGAATATTTTCCATCTCTTGGTCACTTGTATGTGGAGCTGATCTGTGAACGACATGGATGTGATAGACATTACCATGTCGCCTGCGTAGATAATCAGTAGTGCCGAGCGCCAGCATTCTCTTCGCCATGATGCCAGCACGGTTCGCAAGGGCGTCCGCTTCTTCCATGGAATGCGTGGTCAAGACAAGAGAGCGTCCAGGAACAACTGAGGCGAGTGTGCGCCACATGACTCGCTTCGAGGCCGCATCCATTCCGGACGACGGTTCATCGAGCAGAAGCACCGTTGGATTGCCCATCAGTGCAATCCCAAGGGACAGTTTTCTCTTGTTTCCTCCCGATAGTTTGGCCGCCATGCGATCGCGAAATGCACCAAGGCCAACGGCACGGATGACCTCGTTAACATTGTGTTCAACATCGGATATACCCCGGATGCGAGCATAGAACCTCAAATGCTCTAGAACAGTCATCTGATCCATCGCATCAAACTGTGGGCAGACGCCGAGATGCGCTCTAGCAGCCGCACGCTGCTTAAGAACCGAGATATTCTCGACAAACACTTCTCCGCCCTTCCGCGAAGGTTGAATATCACCCCGAATAAGACTGATGGTTGTTGATTTTCCAGCCCCGTTAGGTCCAAGCAATGCAAACACTTCTCCCCGGGCGACTCCAAATGTAACGTCCTGGACCGCCATGAAGTTTCCAAATGACTTTGTAAGGTGCAGCACCCTAAGGCCATCATTAGAGCTAGAGACTCGAGTAAGTTCGTGGTTGATATCTTCGTCGGCATCCAGGTCCTCTTCAGGATCTTCAGCTTTGGCGGTATTTCCTAGCCTTCGGAAGAGAGGCCCACTGTCCCACCAAATCAATAGACCAAAGAGGAAAATCGACTGCAGGATAAGGTAAAGTATAGGGCCGCCATATAATGTGATCTCCCCAGGGTATGATGCAACTTCCTTGCCCTTGCAGAGGGTAGAAAATATGTTGAGGGCCGTGAACATAGACCTCGTGACGTTTCCAATCGGTGCAAGGGCAGCAATAACAAAATGCATAATCTTGATCAGGCTATTGACTCGGGTAGCCGGAGCGTAGGTCAAAACTGACATATAGGCGACGAAATACAGGAGGAACATGACCCTATTTACGATTAGAATATTAACCAATCGTCGCTACAGGAGTGTACTTACGCTTGAGCTCCCGCTGAAAAAGCGAATGCGGCTAGTTGAGACTTCGCCAGGATTGATACGACATATGCAAACAAGGTCGATGCTATTCCATAAAGCAGCAAGACCACAAACAGATACCCCAGGTGGAACCAAGTATCCGAGACTGCTCGAAAAATAACGATCACCAAAACACTTACAGCGAGAACAATCAAAGAGTCGAACCCGAGATACGCAAGCCATAATGGGAAACTTCGAACGCCGTTGCTATAGTGAAGCGCACGAACGTTTCTGAGCCGCTCGACGTTTAGATAAAGAGAGAAGAATGCCGGATAGACCGCAAGAGCCAAACCGAAGTAAGTGATGAGTTGGAGGGCTTTACCGGAGTCTTCAGCCCACGGAAGTTCGAAGCTTTGATATTGCATGCTGATTGAAACATTGGTTAATAGATTGTTCATTGCATTTTGAACAATTGTAGGGAGCGATAGAGCCCCATTCCCTCTCCAGGCAAAGGTTGGGGGCGAGGAATCATCGCCTAGGAAGAAGCCTCCCGGGGTAACAGTTCGAAAATTTCGATTGATATAATCGTTAAACTCCTCTAGAGTGTCGACGATGTGCGTCTTGTTGAGTAGTGAAGAGACATTGAATTGAGAAGAAGATGAACCCGGCAACGAACGGCTGAATCGGCCTATGGACGACGGCGTAATCTTGCTTGATGGACCGATGACTAGCTCAAGATCAACTTGCGATAGAAGTGAATCGATGTCAAATTCGACAGTGGTACCCGGCCCCGAACAGCCGGGTCTCCGATAATCCTTAAGGAACAACGTTACTAAACCTGCAGCTATAATTGGGAGCAGAAGTGCCGCTAAGTAGGGGAGCCAATTCCGTCGCAAAATGATGGCTCTTTTGCAGAACAAAACCCAAGCCTGGCGAGCCATTCCAATGCGCTTTCCAGTTAAAAGATCAGGTGTCTGGCTCGGTTCTTTGCTGCTATTGAGATTTTCATCATCAGAAAGGTCTTTCGAGCTCTGAACCTCCTCGGCAACTTTTAGGAACACGTCTTCGATGGTTGGACCACTAACACAGTAGTCTGATATTCCCAGTTCTTCCAGCTTAACAACGAAGTCCGCCGCTTGAGAGGAGTTTAAGACGTTGTAGACGATTCGGTCATAGTGTGTTTCTGACGGGATGTTTTTGAAGTCCGAGACAGACGGCTTCTCCGATCCAGGATTGTGGTAGACATGAATTCTGTATCCCGATCCGAGTTTATTTTTTAGTTCAACGCTAGATCCCGTAGCTTTAAGTGAGCCCTTGGAGAGAATGGCTATGTGGTCTGCCAACAGATCAGCTTCGTCCAAGAAATGGGTCGTGAGTAAAATGGTACGGTGGCCTCGTTCTGCAAGTAGGATGTCCCATATTTTTCTCCTTGAAATGGGGTCCAGGCCAGAAGAAACTTCATCAACACAACAGACGGATGATCCTCCTGTAAACATCATTGCCAGTTGGAGTTTTCGCTTCTGGCCGCCAGACAAGGTCCGCGATGCAGCAGTGGTCTTCTTATCCAGGTCGCATGCGGCGATAAGCTTGAGTAGCTGTTCGTTCGTGTCGACGCCCCCAGCAGACTTTAGTCTATTGAATATCCTCACATGTTCAAGCACAGTTAGACGGTCCCAGAGTACGTTCCGTTGAGGACACAAGCCGAATCCTCCAGTTGTCTGGGCGTAATTGACAACAATCGACCCAGAAGAAATCTTTGAAAGGCCGGAGATTGCATCCAGGGTAGTGGATTTCCCACTTCCATTAGCACCAAGAAGAACCATGATCTCGCCGTTTTTGACATCGAGGTCAAGATTATCAACAGCCAAGACGTCCTGCCTGCGACTGCCAAACAACGGGCCGAACTTGCGATGAAACCAGCTTTGTTTGTATATTTTAGTAAAGCCGCTTAATGACACAGCAGAAGACGCGGTATCTAAGTTTGTGGTCGTCCTGTCCTTGCACTGCGTTCCGTATAATAGCCGCTCAACCCACGCACCAAGGATCGGGTATCCTAGGATCTGAAGAATAAAAAAGATCCATAGGGCAATCCCTGGTATGGTCCACGGACTTTCTGGAGCGGCCTTGACCAGATTGGTGGCGAGATCTTGCCTTTCCCATCGTGCCATGAAAATCGTAAAGTGAATATAATTCATTGGCGGG